GACACTAATTTTCCTATAAAAAAGGCCCAACATGGAGACACTGATTCAATATGTGGACATAGTATGCTAAAATTTAAAATAAGTTTCAGACCAAATTACAAGGAAACAGATATTTCCAACTGCAGTTGGACTGATTTATCCATGTAAGAAACATTTTTTGGCATTTCTTGTGATCATTTTACCACCCATAAAGCTAATTTTTAAAAATTACCTCCAGCATAGAGGGATTTCCTTGTCTTTTTTAAAACTTGAATTTCTTTTTTTTTTTACAGAGAATGCCAACATTTCAATGTACTGTACAGTCAAGGCACAGTATAATCAATGATCCAAATGCATACATGTCAGATGTCCAGTTGTATTTCGTGGATTGTATTTTTTGTTTTTGTTATCAATTTGTGCTCTGCTTCCTGCTCTGAAGTGATTAAATGTCTTTGAGTGGATTTGGGTTGGGTGAGAAGGGGGTTTGGATGTGGAAATCTTGATTGAACCTTGCGAATGCTGAAAAGCAGCAAATGAAATGTTATGTTCATTCATTCATTCATTCATCATCCAAATATCCATATTGAGTTGAAGGATATTGATTGTATCAGTTTAAATTTGCAGACAATTTTTCCATAAACACCAATTAAAACTTAGATAATGTAAGTCTAAAAGAAACTGAGACTCAACTTGGGGACATTACAAGTTTGGTACACTCATGATGCACCAATTATGTCCTCATCTCAGGATCTCACTGTAATTAAATTAATTATAAGATTCTTGTTAGTAATAAAAAGTCTTGAGCCAATAAGCAAAGGGTTACCTAAAAGCTCTGAGCAGAGGTGTGGCAGTTGGTCAGATGGTTCACTTATTCAAGGGGTGGTACATACAAGTACCGTATTTACTTGAGTACCATGCGCCCTCAAGTATAGTGCGCACAGGCTTTTTTCAGTTGGAAATTTGGCTAAAATCGTATCCCTGAGTATGACTCGCACCCCAATTTTTAGTAAATCTAAAACCACAAAATTTGAAAAATAGAAACAAAAAGTTTGACTTTAGACGTGAATTTAACAAAAATCTGACCAATTTTCAACTTTTTCAGTACAATAAAGTTTTTTTGTCACCTTTTTTCCAAATTTCTCCATTATGATTGAGTATATTCCACATAGAACTTCCTAAAAATTCTTCAAAAATTTGTACCCACTTATGACGCGCACCCCTTTTTTTCTTCTGAAATTCGAGAAAAAAGGTGCGCATGGTACTCCAGTAAATACGGTACACCACAGAGTCTTACAAATCACAGAGCAAGAAAAACATGCTCAAAAGGTCACCACATGTATGCCCTATATACAGTATACATGTAGGAAATCTCGCATGTATAACTTGCATGCTGAGAAAACAAAGATGGAAAGACGAAAAAATAAAATAAATAATTGAAACAATAAATTTGCGAGATCCCGATACCTGGAAAAGAAGGAAGAGCGTTTCTCGTCCGGTGTCTTTTTCTGTGAGCCCCTGTTGGACTTGGCATTCTGGCGCGCAGCCATGCCTGGCTCCACTTCCGGAATGGCTGCAACCCCCCCGCGGTCACGATGATGATGCCACCACCACCACCACCACCATCACCCCCATGGTTTTCTTATTCTACTGCTCTCGTTTTCTTTTTCCTTTTTCCTGTCTCTTTCGATATTTTGTAATAGTAAAAAATTGAAAGTTTTCCCTGCGTTTTCCGCAGACACGTCCGCGCGCGGCGGCGTCTGGGACTAGACTGCAAGTTATTCCCTTGGCTTTCTGCCCGTCTTGAATGTGGATGCACATGGACCAACCCGTCCATTTTGCTATTCCCTGAAAATGTATATATACCATGTGCCTTCCCCCCCCCCCTCATCCTTAACCTGCTGCTGTGTGTGTGATACTTTCTTTCCTTCTTCCTGATGCTGGGACTGCTGTTTCTCATCTTGGTGTGCTTAATGGGTCTGTGCACTAGTGTTCTGTATATATTCCTACCTGTCTTTTTAACTTCACTGCTGCAGCACAAGATATAATGGGGGAGTGGGCCAAGGTCGGGGTTACTTAGGGTGTGCTGACTGACTGAACCTAAGAAGCGTGATTTTGCACCAACACCGATTTTGTGGACTTTTCTGGAATTTATGATGTTGGTGTTCTTATGGGTAGGTTTTGTTTTTTTAAGATATGTGCTACCTCTTCTTGGAATATGTGAGACATGTTAAGGTTGTTTTTTGTTTGTGAAGAAATGGATGTATGTAGTAAGGATTGAGAAGATTCACGCTCCTGGTTATTCAGGGTTTGAACTGAGTGACTGAACTTGAGAGCCATGATTTTGACCTGCAGCAATTTTTGGAATTCTGAAAAAAATGGATGCAGGTGTTATTTTGAGGTTTTTTTTAAAGAGATATGTGCTGTCTCTTCAGGGAATATATGTGAGGCATGTTAGGGAGTATTTTTTAAAGCAATAAATATGGATGCTTGTAGTGATGATAGAGAGGAAATGAGAATAAGATTCACAATCCGGATTATTCAGGGTGGGTTGAGTGACTGAACCCAAAAAGAAACATAATTTTGCATCAAAATAAATCTTGTGGACTGTAGGATTTATGCTGGTGTTTTGGGGCTTTTGATGAGGCATGCTGTTTCTTCTTGTAATAGATGTGACACATGCCTAGAGTGTATTTTATGTGGTAAAACTGATTATAGGTAATGAAATGAAATGAGATGATTTACACTCTGGGATATTCAGGGTAGGCTGAGTGAATAAACCCAAGAGACATGATTTGCACCAACACCAATCTTGTGGATTCTGTACTAGATGCTAGGGTTATCGGGTTTTTTGTTCATTTGTTCTGTTTCTTCTTGAAAGATGGGAAGCACGATGATGGTGTATTTCATATAAAAGTTATGTTATTATGATCAAGAGGACATTCTGTGATGATTCACAATAGGGGTTCCTTTTAGTAAGTTGGAAGAACATTATTTTTCATTATTTTTCCACTTGAGAAAAAGAACTGTCAAAAAGAAACAGCCATGTCCTTGTATTCAAGGTTCTAGGACTGGGTCAGTACAGGTGAACTATCTCCATACAGTGAAGTTTAGGGGACCAGAAGAGGATTATTTGTAATGAGGATTTACTTGTTCTGTATTGTACAATACAGTACTGTACTTTGTTATTCTATTTGCGTGTTGAATGAACTGATCTCAAATTATAAACCAATAAAAGTAATTTAATACTATCAGGATATACATTAAACTGATAACAAGGTCTGATATAATTTTAAAGAAATTGATGGGTGTACCTCACAAAGAATTTTAATTCACTCAAATATTCTTTGGGTCATGTTTTCTCATTTACTAGGTGAAACGTTTGTGATAGGTAATATATACAGGCAACCAGGTTTAGCAAACAGATTAGATCAAAAATTAGGATGGGTGGGTGTATGCATACGTGTCAGATGTCCAGTTTTATTTTGTGGAGTGTGTTCTCTCTTTTGTTTTTGTCATTGGTTTGTCCTTTGTTTCATGCTTTGAAGTGATTGAATGTCTTTGGGGGGAGTTGGGTTGGGACTCTCCTACCATAGGATGAACACAAAATAATTTTCAAAATACTGTAGTAAGGTGCACTTGGAAAATCTCTGACTTTGTCAACTCTGTAGCTATTTTGTCTTTTGCTTATTTATTTTCTCTTTTGTTTTTGTCATTGGTTTTTTGCTTTGTTTCATGCTTTGAGGTGATTGAATGTCTTTGGGGGGAGTTGGGTTGGGTGGGGAGGGGGTTTGGATGCTGGAGTCTTGGTTGTGCCTTGTGAATGCTGAAAAGCGGCAACTAAAGTGTTCTGTTCATTCATTCATTCATAAAAGGTTGCTCAAAATATTTGCAGTGAGTTGAAAAATATTCAGGGATTGTTGATATTCTGACCACTGGCAAGTTTGTGAAAGCATACCTTTCCAGAGTTCATGCAATTTGTCCTTGTTGAAAACCCCTCTTCTTGAGGGTGGGTTGTCAGGGAGGACAAATCACTGCTCTAAATGTGACCAGGATGTTGAACTGAGAAAAGATAACATGTATCTGTCACCACTTTCCTCATTCTCCAAGAAAAACATGCCCTCTCTAGAAGTCAAGAGACTCATTTCTCAGTCAACACCGGGAAGGTCAAAAATGCACCTTTGCTTGGAAACTTAAAATGTTTTTATTTTTAGGGGAGGGAGATTACCTACACTTGACTCCTCTTCACAATAATTTATTTATTCATTGACATATTTTCAGAATTCTCTGTTGAGAAAATTCAAGATCTGTTTGCGAGTCTATGGATAGTATTATAAATCATGCTAAGTGTAGTTTTAAATTTGAATATACTGTAAAAAGATATTCTTTTTTATGTGAAACAATGACCTGAAGCCTCCAAAAGTATTTCCAGTAATGATGATGCAGAAGAATTGAAGATATTGGATTTGCATCTTCTGATCAGACTTAGCTAGTCTAGAAATTATCCAAGAAGGTGAAAAAGTGGGTACTTTCCTGTTATCTCAGTACCTACTTTCTGTGCACCTACCAGAAATGGTGATTTTCATTTTTCCGCATTCTGCTGAAACTGATTTTGGGAGGCGGTTAAGTAAAGTTAGGTTAGGTCAGGTTATGTTAGTTACAAATATCTTTCAATTAACATAACCTGACCTAACCTAACCTACTAAATACTAAATTCCAGAGACAAAAAAATGGGTACTGAGATAACAGCAAAGTACCAAAAAGTGTTGGGTATGTATCTGCAGCAACATTTATAGAATGAAATGCATGAAATCATGTCACACTCAAGAAATACTTATTCTGGATATAAACTTCAGCATGCAGATTAATGACACCCTCCTGATCCAAATGGTGGTAATTGATGCTGTTGCTGCTGCTGGTGAGAACATGTGCCAGAAAAAACAGCTTCTCCATCAGGAATAACCTGTTGAAAACCAAAATACTTGTAATGCCAGTTATCAGAAAATTCCATTGAAAGATTGAGTCTAATGAACTGGTTCAATGTTGGCTTCCACATCATCTGCTCTGGTTGTTTGTTGATACTGTTGGCTGCTTGGGAAGATGGTGGAATACAAAGCAGGATTTGTCATAGGGGGCAGCACCATGTTCTCAAACCAATTTCCTATCCCATGCTTGGTCACATGGTCCCAGTCATCATATGCACAAGCATTACTGGTTCTGGAAATAAATTTTGAAAGACAAAAGCGATTTTTAATACTTCTGCTGCTCTTTGGTATTGCTGTAAATAACAATTTCTTGGAAGGTAGGTGTCACTTCTTCAATATTATACACACAAACGTTTTGGCATTCTTCCTTGATTGGGATTTTATTTTAAAACAACCATTTCAAAGGCTCATGAAGTGTCTGATGGTTAGTCTGAAAATAATCAAAGGCACAGAAAGGAAACATTAATGTGACCTGTGGACTTTTCAACAATTTTTTTTTATGGAGACAGCCTCTGAAATTTTACAATAAAAACTGAATTTCCTGGAATCATCTTGGCACTACAACACAAAGGGTGTGTCACGATACCCATTCGTCTGCATTAATTTACTCACAAAACGGTCCTGTAATACCAGTTCCAGTACTGGTAGTCCTGGTACTTGGAATACAACCAGACACCGAAAAATACAAAGAGACCACTCATGGTTCCTAGTGTCAACCCAACTGCAAAAAAATACACTAATGAAGAAACAACATTTTCAGAAAATTCCTTTCCTACAAAGAGCAGCGTCAAGGAAAAACTCACCTCCAAGATTTCCCAACACGCCACCAGAGGTCTCCACTGATGGTGAGGGCAAGTTTACTTGATGCTCTAAAGGTTCCATTCCATGATGCGGACATGGAAAGTGTGTATTTGGAATGTGACGCATTAAACAGATATTGAAAAAAAGATGCAGTCAAACAGTCATAAGCCCGATTTAAAAAGAAAAACACATTGAAGGTGTGTCATCAGATGTTTAATCTACATCTGCACCTTACTTGCGAGGACTTGTCATTTCCAACTTGCAGATTGCACTCCTAGGTGTCGCTGCTTGCGTCGGTAGTATATCCATTGCCAATGCGTTTGTTATTGTTTGACCTTCACCCAAGCTGAGGTCAAAAGGTGAACACCTCAGTATCTCTGACATTGATTCGTTCCCACTAAAAGAAACTATGTGGTGAGGGAAAACAAGGAAGATGAAAATAAATACAGGAATCACCAGGTTCTCAATACAGGAAGTGCGCAGTAGTACTGGAACCACCAAACTGCGCATTTATGTGGATCAAACTTCCTGTCATTCTGGAAAGTTTCTCTGGATCAGGAAGTGAATAGACGAAGCCTTCTGTGTTTATTCAGTTCCTGAATAATGTTTTCTTCCGGCAATATTAAATGGGGCCGAATGTAAGTAAAGTAAAGTAAAATATACTGGGGCCCCGAGATGCGGACGTGATTGCTGCTTGCACCATTTGTCCCCATGCTGTTGATCACATTTTATTCATAGACTTCAATGGGAGGAAATTCAATATTGTTTCTCCTGTTCATCAAAAATTTGGAGTTAATCCCTCAAAAATTGGACAACGCCTTTTCCACCAAGTTCGAGATGTATAGAAAATAACTATGCAGAAAAAAACCATGCAAAATCTGATCTTTTAGTATAAAAATGAGCTTAAGAAGCAAATAAAAAGAGCAAGTCTTGCCTTTTTATGCACAAATGAATGAATGAATGAACAGAAAACTTCATTTGCCGCTTTTCAGCGTTCACAAGGCACAACCAAGACTCACGCATCCAAACCCCCTCCCCACCCAACCCAACTCCCCCCAAAGACATTCAATCACTTCAAAGCATGAAACAAAGCACAAACCAATGACAAAAACAAAAGAGAACACACTCCACAAAATAAAACTGGACATCCTACACGTATGTTGCATCCACCCACCCATCCCCAATATTGAAGACAAAGCAGCAGTAAAAGTTTATTTAAAGCAAGAGGTNCACGTATGTTGCATCCACCCACGCATCCCCAATATTGAAGACAAAGCAGCAGTAAAAGTTTATTTAAAGCAAGAGGTCTTCAGCCTGCTTCTGTATGAGTTTTAGTTTAATGATGGGGAAAAAGAACTCTGAGAAAAGGCAAAATCAGCTGTGTTTGGATTACTTTTGAATGAGAAAAGTAAAAAATTAAAATTAAATGTATGTTCAATTTTGTGAATGTGTATAATTCAATTTGAATAACGGATCTAAAAATTTAGAATACCATAATAAACATTTTTCATTTCTTTTTAGAAATATTTTCAATAAGAGAGTGTCCCTATTATTTTGAGGTACATTGTCCAGATGTCATACATATTTTCAGAGTTTCAAGCGCCCCTAAGTCGAATCGTCCGTATGTCGGGGTCCCACTGTGATTCCAGTATTTTTCCCATGAAAAATAATGTCTCGAAAATAAAATGGATGTAAGAGTGGGGGGGGGGGGGGAGAAATGCCGCGTCATTGTCTGTCCTCCACATGATGACATAACTGACCATGTCCTTGTGAAACACTTTTAACAACAGCCCACATGAAGCAGAAAATGAGCCACAGCATGCTGGCATAAGAATGAAGAGCACAAAACAAAAGATTCGTTTTTCCCCTTGAAACTTTGTCAGGAACCGTCTTTTATTCTTTTCATATACAGTATCCCTCTTTCGTCCCAACCCAGCAAAACAAAAGAAAGGAACCCCCTTTTTTGTCGAGTGTCTGCTGCTGAAGACATTCAAGAAACGCGTGATCATTTATGAATTACGTGAGAGAAGCAAAAAAATAAACATCCTTCACCTGCAAATTACTTCAGGTGACTCACTCACACGATGCAGACAGGGAAGAAGGACGGGAAAAAGCAGAGAGAAAAAAATATGTTTTTTTGAAGCGAGTTGCATGGGAAATAGACTGAGCATTGACCTTCGGAACTACTTGATTACAGCTCAGTGGACCAGAGAAGAGGGGGGAAACGGAAGAAGTGAAGGGTGGGAAATATAAGAGCAATTCGGGTTGACCACTGCTATGGCTATGTAACGGGGAGGTTTCTACACAAAGTGCCCTCACATTCATCAACAACAGTTATTAGGTGTCAAGTTTATTCCAAAACTCTCCTATAAATGGAAGACCTTGTCCTTTAAATAAACTTTTACTGCTGGTTTGTCTTCAATATTGGGGCATGGGTGGGTGTATGCATACGCGTAGGATGTCCAGTTTTATTTTGTGGAGTGTGTTCTCTTTTGTTTTTTTCATTGGTTTGTGCTTTGTTTCATGCTTTGAAGTGATTGAATGTCTTTGGGGGGAGTTTGGATGCGGGAGTCTTGGTTGTGCATTGTGAACGCTGAAAAGCGGCAAATAAAGTTTTCTTTCATTCATTCATTCATAATTGAATAATTTCCAAAATCCAGGCCAAAAGTAATCTAAGCTTCATTCCCCACAATCACCAGCCTTGCCTCCACCTATAATAACTTCTGCAATATGCAGCCTGCTGGACTTGATCCGCAAAACCCGCGGCGTACAAACCACGTGAATGCAATTTCGAAATTGGCATCAAAAGAAGAGATCGTATTGAAGAAATGAATAAAAGCACGAGGTGAGAAGCGAGTCGAGAGAGAGTCGGATCCCCACGATTGATAACAGAGCGAGAAAGCCAGAAGGGCGGCACATTAACGTCCCCGTTGACAAGCAGCAGCAGCAGCAGCAGCAGCGAAATACAAGTCGGGGATCCCCGACGCCCCGGTAGTCGGGATTGTTTATTTTTGCAAACACGTTTTTGGCCGACCTCTTGGCACGCGAAAAAAACAAAAAAGGCATCACTGCTGGGGAGGAGAGACTTGCCCCGCATTCCTACACGTGCCTTGCTCAATATTTCCGTGACTGAGTCCCCCCCCCCCCCCCCCTTTTTTTTCGCCTTCCCCCGGGATCAAAATGAAAATTCTGCTGGAGGCAATTAAAATGCCTTCCAGCGCTTTTGGGTCGAGGGCATCGCATTAATTAAGAAATATCTCGGGTAAACAAGGTACCGATTTGAAGGGAGCTGAGAGATGTCCAATGAAAAGCAGCATCTCGCGTCGGAAAGGGGGCACAAATTGCCTTGATTTTTTTTTGTATAACATTCTTTGCCAGTATAAACAGAGTAATATGCATTTTAAAGATCAAAAATCAAATAAATTTAACCTGGTGCACTCGTAATGTTGACTTTTTCATACGCGCTGGTGCGGAGTTCCGAAAATCAAACTTGAAAACATTTTAAACCATAGTATCCAAAAAGTTATCATGCTAAGATGATACAACTGTAAGAGACAAGTAATACAAGGGTTCTAACAAAAGTTCTCGGAATGAAAATGAAAATGGCGTCTAATCGAGCTGAAAAAATTTTTGTTCTTTAGGTTAAACATATTCTTCGGCACACAAAAAAATCAGCCCTGTTTGACAATTCTTTTAATGGTTTGCAAAATTCACCCTGGCAGAGTTTTGCTATCCACTCAACAGATGAGGCTCGTAAGAGGAAAACATATCTAAGAAAAAATGACAGATATGCAAATTGTGACGTGAAGGAATCACAGGAAAGTCGAATAACACTTGAGAGGGTTTCTGCAAAGCACACTTGCTTTGATTTAATAATATGAATCAGAGTTCCAAATAAAAAAAAGTGTGAATTTTAAGCATATTTAACAAAAATTCAGTATTCTGACACTTGATGTCACGAAGTATAGAGATCGAAAAATGTGAGTAGAGGCTGTATATGTCTCTAGATATTTTTCAGTGATTCTGAATTTTTTCGGAGGATTCTGGGTCAGAAACTTCGGCACGCGAAGAATTTCAATTCAAAGTTACTCACAAAACTTTCGAAACATCTTTTCTGCGATAGAGGCACAGGTTTTTTCCTTCTTCAAGATTACGAACCGTAATAGATACGGTTTCAAAGACCAGAGGAATAATTTCGCAATCATGTGAAGTTTTCAGCTGAAAGTAGTTGTCATGCTTGATGGTCTTTAGTTCGTGTGCTATGGCAGAAAACAAAATCGAGTAATAAAAGTGCCACAATTTCAATTTCGAAACTCGGGAGAAAATACGACCGGTGCAAATGAGAAGCGCGACTAGAATTTGCCGGCGAAGTATTGGATTCCCTCAACTAAAACTACTTCATTTTGAAACGAAAATGATACGCAATTTGCCAAAAAAGAATCCGTTTTCTGACGAGAAACGAGGTGAAATTGCACGCGCACGTGTGCGGTGTGCCTAGACGTTAAGAAGCGCAGGTGGCGTCGAGCAATTTTTTGCACACCTGGCTTCAAAAGTGCAATATTTCAAAACAATAACCATATCTGTCAGATTTCTTTTGGATTTTCCTTCAAAGTATCTCGGCTTTTCCGAAGAAAATAAAAACGGTAAGTACCGGGAACAGCACTGTACTCAACAACGCAGCTTTTATATAGAAGCTCGGTATAACGACTTCTTCTCATCCGAATCCATTGACATTTTAAGGGCTTATTGAAGGAATTGAGCAGATCAATTTCCGTCCAGTTCAATTGCTGATCCTTGAATTTAAATTTAACGCACCTTTTTCGTGTCTGTCAAAATGAGAAAAGTCATCAACAATTTTCGAGACGTTTCCGCGAAATGTTTCTTTTTCTCGGTCCTTTCTGATCCTCACGGGATTTACATCCGAATTGGAATGACTTTTAATATAGAAGGAAATCGTTGACGAAGATTGTTCCCTTTCAAACTAAATGGCATTCCAGATTCTGAATAGTTGTGTTTTGGCAAAATGCTGTCTAACTTTATTGCTCGGTATATATCACTGTCTCGGCAAAGTACGTGAACTTCAGCGCACCATTCTACTGGAGTTTGAAATTATTGCCAGGTCCCACTTCTAGCCATTTCCTCTTTATAGTTTATATCAAATTAGAAAGCAATCTGTGAGCTAACAAAGGGGGAATCCATGAAATAAATGCTTCTGTAAAATTACTGGGCCGTAATAAATGTAGAAGCACATG